CACCCACACCCACACCCACACCCACACCCATACCCACACCCGCATCCACCCACACCCAGAACTCCAAAGTAACTAGAAATTCATTTGTTTTCTGTCACATACACCCTACACTAAACAGCTGCAATCACGATTTGTTAGCAAATGAAGCTCTCAAGAAGTACCGAGACAGTTTTGTTCGAAATTCCATTTATTTCAGTAGGACATTTTGTCTAGGACATCGGATAAAATGCATGGAATGTGTTATATACATAACAATGGGTTCTTTCTTACCTGTGTGCCTGATCTAGATGCCTCATCAAACTAAATTTGATGTGGAATCTTTTTAAATATGGTTCATGTCTTTATATATTCACCAATGTTGTTATTAACTCATACTTCTCGTGCAAAAAATTATTTCTTTTGCAAGTTGTTTGAGAATTTATCTACTATGTTAACATTCTTAACAAGTCTGTTAGAATCATCAATGAGATGAGAAAAATGTATCTTCTGTCCTCAGAAGGCTAGAATAATTTTGAATTTGTGTTCTTCTTATTCAGATAAGGCGTTTCGTTTCTTCTATTTGCATTGAATGCAACTCAATTGGAAGTGCTACGATAAGAGTATCTATGTAATTTAGGAGTGTGCGTCATAGTGAAGACTTATATTCACACTCCCAACAGACATCCATACTCTTAAAAAATACATTCTTCATTTGACCAGTTTCATGGCTAACACCAAAGCCCTTCTTAGCCGTCAAAATGACGTTGCCCGTCCAACACTACGGGGAAACGAGGCTTGGATTTTTTTGGACTTGTCTATTATTTTTTTTTAAATTTCATTAATATTAAGTCGTTTCACAAAAAAAAAAACTTACAATTTGAAGAGGTGAAGGACAATAGCAAGTAAGAAACCTCTACCTCTATCAACAAATAGCAAGAACAAGAAGAAGTTAATATCTCTAATTAAACAAACACCATCATAGTCAAGAAACTACAATCTCAATCCACACATGTAAACTATACATCAGCAATACACAATCTCAATCGAAAAACAAATTGAATAACTAGCAACAAACTACGAGTTCAATAGAGAAAAAGATAATTTTCATGAGCAAAGTACAATATCATTCTCGCAACTATAAATGAAATAGTTATTTATTTTGAATGATTTACATCCCAAGGAGTAAAAACTTGATCCATATCCAAATTCATTTCGTCGTCCCATGGTGTGAACAAATCATCAGTATTTATACCAACATAATCATAGTAGGCAAAAACATGATACGCGTTTTGCAAAATTGTTTCTTGAAACCACTCATTGAATTCTTGGTCCTCCTCATCTTCTTCGGAATTATGATTAGAACCTGTTTGACCAATATTATTATTCTTATCTTGATCCAAATTAAGGTTATTATTAACAATATGTTGATCAATATTATTATATTGAATATCAAAACCAAGACTGTGATTAAGATGATAATCCATATCGTTGTTGTCAACAATGTAAGCATTACGAGTTGAATCAAAATTATCAACCATTGTTGTTGATGTTTTGGTTAATATAATTGTTATTATTTTCCACTTGATCCACTTCCATATCTTGAACATTATCGTCGTCAATGACGATATATTGATTCTTCGGAACTGGTTGTTCAGGAACTCGTCGACGGTAAGACTGAGCAGAATTAAATATGATAAATTAGTTAAAACCTTTTGGTTTACTGAAGTGCAACAAACTTTTGTGAACAGTGGTGCAACGCTGTCGACGTGATTCAAACATTCCGCGTTGACAGTGAGATACAAAGGTTCACAAAAATTTGGTGTAGTTCAAAAAACCAAAGCTGAAAGAAATAAAAGAAATTATTAATTATTTCAGCCCGAATTTCAAGTGTAACTCACACGGTCATATTTCTTGTATGTTTGATAATTTCGAAAAACTTGAATTCTTGTATGAATACAACAGATTACAATGTGTACTCACATTGAAACGTTTTTCTTCTTCATGGGATTCGATCATTTTCGAGGCCCACATGTTAAGTTGATTCATCGGAAATGCCATAACAAACGATAGATAGCAAAAATAAATTATTTATTAATCTAGAACAAAAGAAAATCAAAATTAGTACAGTCAATTTCCATAGTAACGACGGGAAATTTTTTCTTACTCTTGTCTCATTCGATTCTCAGCTATTGTACATCCAATTAAAAATATTTTTATATTTGGGGAATCCTTGGAGTCTCCGTTTCCAATGACATATAGATTTCCTTTTAATAATCTTTTTGTCGTCGAGAAATGAGCCGTCTATGATGAAGGGTCCAAACGTCGTTATTAGGGTTCCATTTCCCAATAACAACGCTCTAGCAAAATTACAGCGAAAAAATACTTTGAAAGAAAAAAAAATTCACGTTTTCTGTGGGAAATCGAGCAAAGGTCCTTTAGACAATTTTGTAAAGCAGATTAAACTCTACTACAATCCAGCAGTTCATGAAAAACTAATCTTATTTTAGGAGAATATAAAATGTAATGAGAAAAATATCAAAAATCGATTTTTAAAAAATGAGCTTAATAACGACGGCCAGCAATTTTTTTCTCTAATGACGACGGTAGCTATATTTGATCTGAACAACAACTACAACCATGTTTGACGTTAATAGTGACACATTCATTAGAAACTAGTATTATCAAGATCAAGGACTTGTTCGAGCTGGTATCGATGATGGTGCATTTGTTAAATAGGCACTATGTTGATTAGAATGTTGTTTAAAATCTAAAATATGTTAGTAAAAAAAGGATCATCATCAAAAAATTATTGAGAAGATTTTTTACTAGAACCAGATAAACTATTGTACGATGATTGATTGTGAATAGATGTTTCAGCATCCGTTAAAGCATCAGAATCAGAATAACTTGAACAGAAAATGAGAAACATGAATAAAAAAAAATTCGCCTGAATTATTTTCATACTTTTCGTCACTCTCTTCATCATCAAATGGGTTGGCCGTAAAAATGTCGAAAGGAAAAATATCGAAAGGAAAAATGTCGAAAGAAAAAATATAGAAGGGGAAAAATGTCGAAAAAATAATATCGACAGAAAATGGTTGATAAATATTGTGAACAGTTGTGAATAGTGAAAAACATGTTATATGATATGAGTTGATGTTAATGGGATGACAATGACAAAATGCAGATAATGAAAAAAGTCGATTTATTATTTTTTCTGCGTAGCAACTATAGGTTGTTGTTATATTCAGTTTAAAAACATAGTCATCTGCTATGAGTAAAGATTTTCCTTTATTTGAATTTATAAATGAAAAGCTAGAGATACTGATCAGGTTACGTCAGTTTAAGATGTAATAGTTTCAGTCGTCACAATAGAATTTTAGATAATATAATAGTTCTTCGCTTAATTCTTTTATTTAATTTTCATCAGGTGTTAGTCGTCAAAATCACGATTGGTTAAACTTTTATACATTAGAACTATAAGAAAAACAACAATGAACTAGACTTGATTAGAGTCATTCTTTATCGAAAACATCATCTTTTTCGAGATTTTGTTCTTACGATACTCTTCCACTTCAATATTTATGTTTCGATATTTCTCCTCTTCTAAATTTTTTCTTTCGACATTTTTCGTCTTCGATATTTTTCCTTTCGACATTTTTCCAGCACACCATCAAATGTGTGTCGATGACGAGTTGATCATGGTGAAGGACTAGACGTTAATTATAGATAATAAATATTTTTAAGTAGTTTTATGCTTAGAGAGTTACTTGGATCATGAACACTGCTATTGATAAAAGATATTTAAGAGGACAAAATGTAAAAAAATTAGAATAGTTGTGCCTTATATGGAAATACTGGGTAAGAAAAAATTCGCATTAGTAAAGAAGACTGGAAAAACGGATATACATAGGGCATTCAAAAAATAATGAGAATCAAGGGGGAAATAACTGACTTTTATGACTTAAAGTCATTTAGATCATTTTAGATCATCTAGATCATCTAGATCACTTAGATCACGAAAGTCATGAAAAGTCATTAAAATAACTCAGACTATTCGAAAGAGGATGCTAGTCAATACTTATCTAAAATCTGTTGATAGGTGAATATATCGATATAGGCTACGAATAAGGTACAATAACAATGATTCTATCAAAATATACATACAATATAACTAGTTTTTGATACTATAAAACGATAGCCTTAGAATCACACTAAGGCATTTCATTAAAATTTTTAAGCGTGTAATGGTTTATAAAACAAATCAGCCTTCGATATGGGAAACTTCACATCATGTCTGCTTGCATCCAAGCCTTCATGACCGACTTCGATAACATTCTTCGAAAAATGTTGGGCCACCAAGATTACTATCTCATGTATATGTCGTGTCGAAGTTACCCTGTTTGTCGAAGTTGCAACTTCGGCAACATTTTTGC